GGGAGCAGAGACTCACCAGCAAGAAGGTGCTGTTGGGGCAGTAGCAGCCAGCATGGCAGGTCTCGTTGGCGCTGGGCACCGCACTGAGCTCCGCGCAGGAAGCCGGTCCGTCGGCACATTCCTGCCACACCTTCCCCTCCGGGCAGACGCCGGGCACCTCACCTGGGTGGGAAAGTGCAAGGCAGACGTGGGTGGAGCATTCTGAGGGGGCAGGAGCCGGCTGGGGGGTTAGCCTGGCACTACTGAGGTCATTCCGCCGAAATAGATGGAGAAAACGGTGCCAGGAGTTTCTGTGCACTCAGTGGAATGGGGGAGTCATCACACCTTTCAGATTTATCCATTTATCCCTTTCTTTCATTTATTCACTGCTCGATTGCAAGTGCAACCTCTGAAGCAGTTTGCAGAAAAAATATTACATTATAAAATAATCAATAAGAAAAAAACAACAATTTAAGGCTTTTGTAAGAATAGACCTAAAAACAGATCTAAGCAGCTTGTCCAAGCAAGAATGTTTTTAACAGGTGCTGAAAAGAAAACAGTGAAGGCTCCTTCCTGGTGTCAAGAGGCGGGGAGTTCCAAAGTGTCGGTGGTACCCCCCAAAAAACTTGAGTACTTACAGAAGCAGAGTGGGTATTGTGTGGCACCTGCCATGGTGCCCATTCTGCTGAATGGGCATATATGGGGTTAGGCGATCGTGCAGGTAAACTGGTCCCAGGTAGCCCCCCCTCCAATTCACAAGCCAGAAAATAGACATCTTGGGGGGGTGTCAAACCACAGGAACACCAAGCAGGCAGTGGGGGGCTGTGTCCTCTGCCCCCCCTCACTAAAGAGGCAGGGTATTTCTGAACGAAGAGGCTGCTGCCTTCAATTAAAAAACAGGCCATAAGATCAGCAACACCCAAACTTTTTCGGGGAACTGCCTCCTTGGTTCCCTTCAGCTCATCCCCAGCACCCCCCCAAAGAATTATTCAGAATAGCAGTTTGCACAACTCTCCGAGGTAGATAGTAACACAATCAAACTCAAGACAGGAGCAATGAATTGCATATTTGTTCCAAACCCAAACAAAGCTATTCAGTTTAATTAATTCTGCAAAACTGGTGTACTCGAGACCAGCTTTTCCAAGTCTGATAGTTATTGGCACCCCAAGCATCCCCCTTCCTTCCCAATTCTGCCACCAGTGAGCACCTGTGGGAATGTTCAGGGAGGCAGGAGAGGATATATTGTTTATTAATATCCTTCCTAACTTGCACTAGCAAGTTCCTTTACTTAGCAGAGTTTCACATTCCCCTTTTAAACGCACAGCGGATAACTGGTTGCAGGCTTGTGTAAAGGTAAAGGGAGCCCTGACCATTAGGTCCAGTCGTGGCCGACTCTGGGGTTGCGGCGCTCATCTCGCTTTGTTGGCCGAGGGAGCCGGCGTACAGCTTCCGGGTCATGTGGCCAGCAGGACTAAGCCGCTTCTGGCGAACCAGAGCAGTGCATGGAAACGCCGTTTCCCTTCCTGCCGGAGCAGTACCTATTTATCTACTTGCACTTTGATGTGCTTTAGAACTGCTAGGTTGGCAGGAGCAGGGACCGAGCAACAGGAGCTCACCCCATCACGGGGATTTGAACCGCCGACCTTCTGATCAGCAAGTCCTAGGCTCTGTGGTTTAACCCACAGCGCCACCCACGTCCCTAGGCTTGTGTAAGCCTCTCACTATTAGGTTCCTGGTAAGTTCCCTTATATCTCTCTTAAAAGAATAAAGACACAACAATCTTATTTAAAGTCAATAAAAGAAGTTTACTCACATCATCAGTTCACAGTTGGCCCCCTGAAGGCAGACTTAGTTACAAAGTATATACATGTGGATCTATCCCATATAGGGATAGGCTGCTCCAACGACGGAGTAAGTCAAAGAGAGAGAGTGTGGCAGCATGCCTTGTCCTTTTGTTACCTGGACAGGTAAGGGCACGCCCACCTCTAGTCACATGCAAAAGGAAGGATGTTCCAGCCCAGGAGGAAACAGGAAGTTTTCGACTGGCTGGACCAAACCTCCCCTTGCATGTCCACTCTAGGAAAACAAGGAATGTTGTGTTTGACTGCTCCCAGTGGATGACATCCAACAGCACCACCCCCCACTTTGGGAATCATAACAGCCTTTTTGTCTCCCCCAGAACCGAGATGGATCCACCGGACTCACCTGTGCAGGGGGGAAGGTGGCAGGTGGCAAATTCAATCCGGCGCAAGACAGTCAGGCTGGCCCTTGTGCGATTCCTGTATCCGCCTCCGCACGGCACAGAGCACTCAGACCAGGGCCCCCACTCCATGCCGGAAGCTGGGAAGGGGGGGGGGACAGAGGAGAAGGAATAATAATAATTATTATTTATTATTTGTACCCTGCCCATCCGGCTGGGTTTCCCCAGCCACTCTGGGCAGCTTCCAACAAAGATTAAAAATACATTAAAATGTCACACATTAAAAACCACTCCCAGTCACCAGTCTAGCTGCTGCATTCTGGATTAGTTGTAGTTTCCGGGTCACCTTCAAAGGTAGCCCCATGTAGAGCGCATTGCAGTAGTCCAAGCGGGAGATAACCAGAGCATGCGCCACTCTGGCGAGACAGTCTGCGGGCAAGGAGGGTCTCATCCTGCGTACCAGATGGAGCTGGCAGGCAGCCACCCTGGACACGGAACTAACCTGTGCTTCTATGGACAGCTGTGAGTCCAAAATGACTCCCAGGCTGCTTTCAAATATAATATGACTTTAATTGTGAGGTTCAGCTTATTTTTTCAGTTGCTGCTTTGTCAACAGTATGGTGCAAATTATCATTGTTAATTGCAGTAGTACCTTGGTTCTCAAACTTAAGCCGTTTTGGAAGTCCGTTCCAAAACCAAAGCGTTCCAAAACCAAGGTGGATTAATCTATTCCAAACTTCTAAAAACAACCCCTAAAACAGCAATTTAACATGAATTTTACTACCTAACGAGACCATTGATCCATAAAACGAAAGCAATAATCAATCCACTGTACTATAAAATAAATAAGATAGTATTGCAGATGATAAAAATTAAAATTACTTCCTCCCCCCCTTATCTGCACTGATGATAGTCATTGTTTGGACGGGGGGGCTTTTATCCATTTCCGCAGCCAGTAGCTGCATATTCCACACAGTCACAAAAACAAATTAATCGAGAAAGCCTCAAAAACAAAAAAGGCAAAATAAAGAGCAAAAACAAAAGCACCTGTAGCAGGAAACCCCCCCCCCCCATCATTCAGTTTGTACAAACTTCACACACACACACACACACACACACACACACACACACTCACACACACACTACATACGCTACGCTTCTGTTATAAATTCATAGAAAATCAACCATACATCGGATTTGCACTGTTCCACTTTTATTTTACTCCATGAAGGAAGGACTACAAAATGGGGAAGGTTTGATACAGGGCAGCCATAATCCCTTCAGCATACCAGCACATCCACAGGAGCCCTGCCCAGTTGCTATGCCAACCCTGATGGTCCTAGACAGAAGACCATCAAGATCACAAAGAACTTGCATATGGGAGTGGATTCAGCAAAGACTGGAACAAAGGACAATAATCAGCTCTTCCCTCTGGGGGCAGGAAACTGCAAACTCCCCTCTGTCACCTGGAAAATACTCATGGGGAGGGGGAAAGGGGGAACCAGCCAGGTGACAGGACACTCAGGTTACCACCACAACTCCTCCTTCAACCCCTCCTTTCTGTGATGTATGCATGATGTTTCTGGGGGTGGGCTTGACCTAGAGGATGGGAATTTCAAAAGTTTTTATAAGGTCTTGCACACCATTTTTGTGTGTCTTTCCTCTCTCCTGCAAGTGAGGGGAACACCCTGTTGCAACAGTTCAATAAAGGCCAAGCCTACAGGCTGCTGTTTTGCTCCAAGATATCCTGGTTGGTGTCTTTGTTTTTGTCCAAGGGAGCCCTCGGATTTTTCCGGTAACACACCAAACTTAATCTGTTCCAGAAGTCCATTTGACTTCCGAAATGTTTGAAAACCAAGATGCAGCTTCTGATTGGTGCAGGTGCCCCGGAAACAAGAGCCAACAGCCGCATCGGACGTTCACCTTCCAAAAACCGGAACACTTACTTCTGGGTTTCCGGCGTTTGTGAACCAAGGTACCACTGTATTCTATACTATTTCTACCGTATTTGTGATGTTCAGTTCTGTTCTAATTGTGGTTTGTAAGCCCCTTTGGGATTCATTCAAATGAAAAGGGGCCTGAAAATGTAATGAATCAAATCAGCGGTGACCTCCCTCTTTTCATTGTGCTCCTCTGCTCCCTTTCCTCCCCATCCCTCTGACCCACAGCCTGACCCCCTCCCCTCTCCTTGAACCCCCTTCCCCACTCTCTCTTACCCTGGCAAGGCTGCAGGCTGCAGAATTCAATCTCCACGTTGGGTCCCTGGCAGGGCTGTCCTCCGTCGGAGGCAGGGGGCTGGGAGCTGGAGCGGAAGCGGCGCCGAGTGCCCACGTTGCAGCTGCGGCTGCAGGAGCCCCAGGCCGTCCAGTCGCTCCAGGCACAGTCGGCTGCAGAGAGGGAGGCCAGCTCAGGGCGGGGGGAATCTCTTTCCGAGCGCCTTCCCCAGATATTATTTCTATTGTTACATTTATTATATAAAATAAAATAAAACCAGCCGCTGATGGAACTCAACCCCATTTAAGATATGGTGTTTAGAGACCCAAGTTATTTTTCATTTGTGTGTTTTCCAAGAACAAACTTAGCTGGTCTCTAAGGTGCTACTGGAAGGAATTTTTTAATTTTGTTTTGACACATAGAAGGTTAAACAGGCGCTTGTGGTCCCCGGAAGGTGTGACCTCAGGACAGGGGCAGGATCTCCATTCCACCCACCCATCTATCCGCCAAGAGTGGGCTATCGTCTCATTTTATCCTTACAACAACCTTGCGAGGTGGGCTAAATTGAAGCTTTGTGGCTTGGCCATTTTCTGCTCCACCCAGCTGGGCAGAGGAGCCGTGGCTCATTGGTAGGCCACCTGCCTTGCATGCGGGAGTCCCCAGCTTCAATCCCTACTGGAATCCTCTGCTAAATTTTCACTGGAGGGAGCAGGTGCCGGGGTTGGTCTAGATGACCCCTGGGGTCTCTTCCAACTCTAGAATTCCATGATGGTATGTTTCTAAGTCCTTCTCCGCTTCTCTACCCTAGAGAACTGCCACCTGTCAGTGTGAACCGTCCTGGGATAGAATGATAAAGACTCTGACCTAGTAGGAAAGGTGGCCGTCTCTGTTTACCTGGGCAGGGCTCCGTGGTACACACCATCTCTCCATCTTTGCAGGTGCTGGAAAGGAAAAGGGGGAAATTACGTCACTGAGTAGATGTCTTACGAGTTGCCTCAATGGAAAAATGCAAGATGAAAATTATTTAGAATGATTTGCACTCGGAAGAACAGGGCGGATCGAGGCCCGGTGGGTAAGGACTTTATCTTCTTTCCATCTCTGGGCCAGTAACATCCACGCAGCCATGGTCGCTATCAGAGAAGAAAGGCAGATCAAGTTGATGGACTATGTCAAAATGGCTAAAATGACCCGAAGAATCAGAAATCAGGAAGGTCAAAAGCTTAATAAGGAATGGGGGAGATTTATAACTTATCTTAAAGATCATTGTAAACAGTTAAAATCCTTGGAATCTAGTTTTTATGTCGTACGTGGGATATGTGACTGTGAAATTTCAATCTCAAAAACTAAATAAATAAATTTCTGGAGAAAAAAAAGAGGCCTGGAGGGTGGTGACATGAGAACGGGGCCTTTTCTGCAGTGGCTCCTAGTTTGTGGAAGGCTCTCCACAGTTAGTCTCGCCTGGCACCTTCCGTATACCCCTTTAGGCTTCAGGTGAAATAAATATTTAACTTGGGGATCACTTAAGTAGGAAGTGTTTTATAGATGCATACAATTACAAATTGTGGTGTGTGTGTGTGTGTAGGAATACAGGTTTTCATAAGGGGGGTTCTCCTGGGAGGGGGAATAAATAAATAAAAGTAAAAAGGAGAAGAAATGCAATCCATTCATCACCAGTTGTTGCAGGAGTCCAGGAGGGCGACGTCCCCCGGCTGGTAGAGCTCCCCCTGGTGGTAGCAAGGGCACTCTCTGAGCGGCAGGCAGGTGTCGTTGTGCAGGAAGAGACCCCCGGGGCAGGAGCAGCCCTCGCGGCAGCGGGAGGCGCACTCCACGCGGGAGCCTTGGTCCAGGCAGAGGCGGGGGCAGGCGCCCCCCTTCCGCTCGCACTCCTCAGCCGTCTGGTACACCAGGTCCCCCGGGCAGAGCGCTGTGTGGGGTTTGGGGGGGACAAAGGGAGAGGCATTCGGTGAGAGACGTAGGGTACCCAGAGGTGTAGCAGGATGGGCAGGGGCTGGAGAGGAAGTGTCTGTCAGGAGTGCATGCAGGAGCCAGGCCCTGTGACCAGTAGGACTTTGCAGGACTGGGGCCTTCCTAAGTTTGTTCTGGAGAGGCAAGGCGCGGCCTCACAGGTGAGGTCACTAGGTAACTCACAGCACGTGGTGGCAAGAGCCAGGAAGGGATATAAGGTCAGCATTTCCCTTCAGCTCTTTGCCACAGCAACACGTTCCCTGGCTTGCTGTGTTTGACTCCTTGATTCCTTGTTTCTTGATCCTCGGACCCCTGACTCCCTGACTCCTTGCTTCCTGACCCTCGGACCCTTGACTTCGTGGCTCCTTGCTTCTTGACCCTTAGACCCTTGATTCGTGACTCCTTGCTTCTTGATCCTCGTACCCTTGACTCCCAGCCCTCTGACCCTCTGACTTTTGGCTTTCTAACTCCTGGCTTCTGGACTCCCGTTCCTGCTCCCACCCCGCTATTGTGTCCCCGGTCCCGACGTCCTCAGCTGGGACTTCGATTGCCCATGAACCAAACCATGACAGTGTCAGGGAATGGTCTGAAGACGAGGACTGGGGGATGCATTCTGATGGAGAGCTGGAGGGGGAAAGGTCGCCCCCCCTTTGTTCAGAAGCAGAGAGAGAAACAGGAGATGGACAGCTTAGGGGGGAGTTACCCAGTTATGAGATAAGGACATGAGATGAGAAGCAGAAGGGAGGGGGCAGCTAGTTGAGACGTCACTCAAGAGTGTGGCGGACCCCCCCTCACCATGGACTTGGAGGTCCGAACGTATCAGAGAGCAAAGGAGTCAGAGGGAGGGGGGAACTTCCCGTCGGCACCCGAAATGCTGTGGAAGCCGGAAAGAAGATTAGGCTGGCCTACTGCCTCCTTGTGGAGAGCTGTGTATTTGTGCTCGCAATGTGGTGCTGTAATAAAAGGACCACAAATCTATCAACTGCTCATTGATTCTTATCTTGATTCTTATCTGCGAAGCTACCGAAGGGAGGGGAAGACTCTCCACGCCTGACAGGGACCCCATATCCCAAATGTGTACCTTTGCAGGGCTGGGTGTTGCAATCGCGGGTCTGGATGAGGGGTCCGGAGCACTCTGGGCCCCCATAGGCTGGCTTGGAGCAGGTGCGGTTGCGGGTCTGGACCCCGGAGTCGCAAGAGGCCGAGCACTGGGACCAGGAGGTCCATGGGGTCCAGATGCCTTCCACTGAGGAGGGAGAGAGGGAGGGAAGAAGGAACAAAAGATGATAAGGAGGTGGCCTGCCTGCTGGGGGCCTGAAGGACCCTGCCCCTGCCTCTTTCCACCTGGCTCTGGGGGGCTCGCAGGCTTCACAAGGACTGCAGCTGCTTTTATATTTTTAATTTTTATCTGTGGTGTTTTAAACGAGACCATCTTGGCTGTGAGCCCTGGAAGACCTGCACCCTGCCTTGCCAGTCCTTCCCCATCTGGCCTGGGAGAGAGTGGAGAGCGGACTGACTCCAGCTACAAAAGCTGAGGCTGTTGAACAGATTCTCGGGCTGGAGTATTTATTTACAGGGGGCGTTGAGAGAGCCTGTTGTTATCGAAATCATGGTTGCGTTTTTAGTTTTAGCTCTTATGATTTGCGTGGAAATTGTTTCCATTGGGTTGTGTACTTTTTGAGGTGTTTTATTTATTGTTTATGACCTCTGTTATGTTTGTAATTATGTAAATCTTGTCGTGTTGTAAGCCGCCTTGAGCATAGTTTCAACTATGGAAAGGCGGCATACAAATAAAATGATGATGATGATGATGATGGTCTCTCCTTTAGCTGTGATCCTTGCATTGGAGGCTGTTGAACTCAATGACCCCCAGGGTAACTTTACAATTCTGTTTCTCTATCCTAGAATCATAGAGCTGGAAGGGTCCCCCAGTGGTCATCTATCCCAACCCCCCTGCAATGCAGGAATGCTCTTTCGACTTGCCACTGCACCGGGGAAGAACCTGAGGGCGCTTCCTGTACGGCGGCCACCTTTCGGGTAAGATCAGCCAAACCTCAGACCCCAAAGGACGCAATTCCCCAACCTGGTGCCCTTTGGATGTTTCAGACTGCAAACTCCCGTCATCCCCGAGGCCGGGGGGGGGGGGCTCAGTGCTGCCCCCTCCTTCTGCCCCCCTCCTCTCACCTGGGCAGGGGGGCGTGTCACAAAGCTCCTCCTGCACCGTCTCCCCGCTGCAGCTGGCGGCGTCCGTGGGGCCACTGCAGTCCCAGAACCGCTTCCTGACGCCCGCCACGTCCGTGGCATAGTAGCAGGTTTTTGAGCAGGGGGACCAGGGCGTCCATTCGCTCCAGGCGAAGGTGATCTCTGGGGAGGGACAGGAGAAAGAGTGTGGGGCACGGGAAGCCTCGGGGTTGGGGGTCACTCGGTCCCCTTCCAGGAGAAGTGAGGCCTCTAGTCTACTGGCAGGCAGAATAATGAGGAACTTTAAAAAATGATCAAGGTATCATTAAAAAAAAACAAAACCTGGAGGCTTTTCTTCTGGGGATTTTGGGCCCAGACATACCAAAAAATGCAAAGGAAATATTCTTGTATGCAACGGTAGCAGCAAGAATACTGATCGCAATGAATTGGAAGGGAGAGGAAATCCCAATGAAGCTGGAGTGGCAAAGTTGGAGTATGCCGAACTGGCAAAAATGACAGAAAAACCTTTATTCGAAAATGAGACATGTACAGAAAACCCCATGAGGATTATTACAGCATTATAATGTCAGTGACAGCATTTGAATGACTTCTGTATTAGGATAAATATATGTAATATAATATTGACAAATATTAGTAAAAAGAAAATAGAGATTAACTGTGCATCAGATAAGTAATATTGTAAATACATGGGGTGGTGGGAAGTCATAGGAATTTTTTAAAGAAGAATGTATGGTGATATGAATTAGCAAATACTGATATTTTTCTTGTATTCTCAATTGGTTGTTTCATACATTTGTTTGTTGTGCTTTTTTGAATATCAATAAAGCATTATATTAAAAAAAAGAGTGCAAAACCACTCCCTGAAGAAAAGACTCGCTTGAGAGCTGACGCAGAGGAGTGGAGCTTCTCCTCCAGCCTCCAAGGCATCGGATTTACTTCTTTCATGAAAGTGACGCACCTCTTCCTTGTTGGGACCCCTTACCTGAGATGCAGACGGTGTGGCATTCGCGGACCTCCTGGGCATCGCCTTGGCACGGGGCACCACCATTGGCAGCGGCCGGGTTGGAGGGAGACCTGCAAAAGAGGCAGGGTGGTACATAAGTTAGGGCAGGGAAGAGAGCGTGCAGCTCTGGCTCTGCACCCATCCAGATGGATGGACCCCTGAAGGATGCCGCAATTCCTTTTCTCTTATTCATTTATTTAACAAAACGTATAGAGTTAATAAATCAAGTATCTCTAAGCGACTTAGAAGCATAGAATTGTAGAGTCCAGGCCAGCCGCCTGCAATGCAGGAATATTTTGCCCCTTGTGGGGCTCGAACCCACAACCCTGAGATTAAGAGTCTCCTGCTCTACTGACTGAGCTACCCTAGAAGAGGACTTGTATAACATATTACTGGGGAAAAGACTGCTTTTCCTGTCCGTTTGCATTTCCTAGTGCAGTAAGTATTGATCTGATGTGCAGAGATCTTTCCTATTCTACTTAATTCAAGAGGGTTCTGGAAGCCTCTTTCTGTGAAAGAAGTAAGCAGAAGGTTCATGATGTTTGGGTTATTTCTTCAGAGAAGCTGAGTACAGCTGCCTTAAACTGGTTACAATACGATAATCTTTATTGTCATTGTCCCATACAGAACAACGAAACACCGCACATGCGCCCTACGTAGTGATGCCCGCTCCGGGTGTCACAACGCCTTCCTTCGCCCCTGGCTGACTATAATAATGCCAGAAGGAGCCCGGGTTTCACTCTTTTGTATCTCTCTTTCTTTCTGGTGTGGTGTTCTGTATGTGGTGTGCTTAGTGTTAAGGTTTCGACTTATTATAAATTACTGTGAGTTTAAGTTAAGTCTGCTGCAACTGGATTTCTTATGGACAGGGCCAATCCTGAATGTATTGGATTTGTGACCACTCTGCTCATCTGCCTTCAGTAGCAGTAAAGCTCTGCTGCATGAAATAAAATTCCCTCTGGTCTACTTTTGGGAATCCTGCAATGTGTTTAAGATTTTACTCTGCTAACTATAAATCGGAATCTAATCTGGATCAGTATTGAGTAGAATTTCAACGACAGTTCCATCCATTCATTTTTTTAAAAAATCAAGAAAACACATGGCGACTACGACTAATACGTGTGTTACATTTATAATTGTAATAAATTTCTTCAAATATCAGAAGGGCTGTCATCACATGGCAAATGCAGCAAGCTTGTTTCCTGCTGCTCCAGAGGGCAGGGTCCAAAGCGATGGCTTCAGATGACAAGGAAGGAGATTCCGACCATTACTGCTGCTGCTGTTGTTAATTGAATTTATATACTGCCCTCTACCCACAGGTCTAAACATTAGGAAGATCTTTCTGGTGGTAAGAGCTCTTCAACAGCGGAACAGACTCCACTGAAAAGTGGTGGTCTCTCTTTGGTTGTCGGTTTTTAAACAGGTTGGAGACTGGAGAGCTATCTTCCAGGGTTTCTTCAACCAGGCTGATTGACATCCATGCCCTTTTAAATGTGTTGGGGGGGGGTTTACTGGGTGTGTTTTTTAAATTTTGTTTTCTTTTTATGTATTTTGTTTTTATCTTGTATTTTTATGCTGTGACCTGCCCTGCGATCTTAAATAAAAAAGCAATTTCAATGACTAATTCGCATCACCTACTCCAGTGGGATGAGTCGGGGGGCAAGGAGAGAAAACAAAAAAACCCCCACATTTTGATCACAACCTTCCTTGGGAGGGCCGGATAAAAAAAACCTGCCTCAAGAGGCCACTGTTAGGATATAATTCCGTTCCACCTTAAAAGGGAACAGGCTGTTGTGTGTCACATGCCTGTTTACTTCCAGCACTTGCTGGGAACTTCCGTTTGTATATAGCTTTTGTGTTACAGCTGTTTTGCTGGAGACGAAGGGAAGCAGACATGTTTTCCTTTGTTCCTGAACTATGCTGAATAAATGCTGTAAATATGCTTACACATTTCTCTGTCCGCCTCTTCTGCTGTGAGAAGATTTATTCACTTTGCTGACAGAGCGTGCACGGGTCTCTAAACGTATCTGAGGCTCGTGTCGCTGACTGATGCTGTTCCAAGGGAGACCGGTGATCGCCCGGCTGCCGGCCGGTGGCTGGAGCCAGCTGGGGGCCTGCCTGATGCCCCCATCTCCCTGGCAGTATCCCAACAGCCACATCCCGCCCACAGGTGGATGCTGCCCTCCTTTCACCTGAATCTCTGCTGCATGCCGACCCCACAGCTCCTTCCGCAAGGGCTCCACGGAGACCAAGCTGACCAGCCACACTTCACGGGGCAGGAAACCGAGTCGCAGGTCACGGCGCCTTCCAGGCAGACGCTGGTGGTGGGAGCGGGAAGGAGGCGGAGGACAAAAGCTCATCAGGACTGAATCTGGACCCCATAACCACCACCACCACCCCAAAAGGGGGGAACCTGTGACCCTCCCATCAGCCCCAGGGGCAAAGGCAGAGACTGGGAACCTTTCATATCTTGAGGGCCACATTCTCTTTTTTAATATATAAAATTTATTTGGTTCTTCAAATATTTTACAGAGATATATCACACATAAATAATAAAAACAAGATTCCCAGGAATCTCCTGGACTTCCACCCTCCCCTTTGTGGGTCCTATTATTAATCCTTCCCTCCTGCATCTTTTATGATACAGTGGCACCTTGGTTCTCAAACGCCTTGGTACTCATACATCTTGGAACCCAAACACTGCAAACCCGGAAGTAAGTGTTCCGGTTTGCGGACTTTTTTCGGAAGCCAAACATGCTCCGTTTGGAGTGTTACGCTTCTGATCTGAGAGCCCCGTTTCTGTTTTGAGAGTTGCGCTGTGGTCTGTCTGTGTTTGCTATTTTGCATTTTTGTTTTTGCGGCTCTTTTTTGTGTGTGACTGTGGAACCCAGTTCAGCTATTGGTTGATTGTGTGACTGCAGTACATTGTTTATTGCTTTCATTTTATGGATCAATGGTCTCGTTAGATAGTAAAATTCATGCTATTTGCTGTTTTAGGGGTTGTTTTTAAAAGTCTGGAATGGATCAATCAATCAATCTGTTCTGCATTACTTTCTATGGGAAAGCATGCCTTGGTTTTGGAACACTTTGGTTTTGGAACGGACTTCCAGAATGGATTAAGTTTGAGAACCAAGGTACCACTGTAATCCAAAACCTTTGCCTCTTCTGTTATGTCCAGAATTCAACATTAAACTTTCAGTAATATTCCAATCCTACTATTTTAACTGTTTATAATGGTCTTTAAGGTAAGTTATAAAGGTTCCCCATTCCTTGTTAAAATTTCGGTCTTGCTGATTTCTGGCTCTCCCGGTCATTTTAGCCATTTCAGCACAGTCCATTAACTTCACCTGCCATTCTTCTCTGGTGGGGGGGGCCACATTCTTTTCTGGGCGGCCTCCCAAGGGTTAGCCTCTAGACAGCTGGTCACAGGTCTGGGTGCAATGGAGCAGTTTCCGAAAGAACGGGACCCTCAGCTCCTCCCTGGTGGGTTATGGGCCCACAACCCGAGACTTCTCCCGCACAGACGTCATCATTGCTCTACCCTTTTCACACCCCTCCTGGCACTAGGAGGCAGTGGAGCAGGGGAAGGTGGGCAATCTACTGACTTGTCCCTCGCCTGAACCATCCCTTCTTCCTCCGCCCAATCCCGTGTGCCTTCCTGCGCTTCAGACTGCTCGCTCCTCTTCAGTGTCAGGGACTGGACTGAGGAGGAATGGTGGAGACCGCGCCCTCCTCCTGCACTTCCCAGAAAAGGGGGAGACAGTATAGATTTAGAACAGCGGTTTGCAGAAGGTCACAGTTCAGAAGCTGCAGAGGGGAGAAGCTGGGAAATATTGGAAGATGAGCAGGAAGAAGTCGAAGAAGCACCAGGGGAGAGACAGCGGAAAGACTCAGTGTCTTTAGAAAGCATGCCAGAACCCCCCTCTCCCAGAACCCGGCGGGCATCGAAAGTAGGAGAACAGAAAGCTCAGAGGCAGAAAGCACAGATCAGCCAATGCAGGGATGACATATAATAGGAGAGACGGAGGAGGTGGGACTTTACTCAGAGCAACGCCATTATCCAAGAGACAGCACTGCTACATCTCTGTGAATATTGAATAAAAGACCTTGGTAAGAGCTTCTTGTCTTTCCATTTCTGGCAGCCTGCCGTGAGGCAGGGGGGTCAGATTCCCTGAAGCCTGACACTCAGACTCCTGCCTTGTGGGTGGCTGGGCTCCCGGTGGAGTCTAGGGTCAGGTTCAAGGTGCTGGTTTTGACCTTTAAAGCCCTTTGCAGCCCAGGACCCTCGTACCTACAGGACCGCCTTGTTAGGATATTTCCGTTCCACCTTAAAAGGGAGCAGGCTTTTGTGAGTCACAGAGTCTGCGCATTTCCTGTTCACAGGATGTTTATGTTTCCTATTGCTTTCGTTTTTTCTCTCTGTGTCGTAGACACTAAAGCAGGCAGTCATGTTTTTCTGTGTTCTGATCAACGCTGAATAAACTTGTAAATAATGCTCTCCTGAGTGCGACTTTGGCTGTGCATTATCTGCTGATAGAGTGTGCATGAGCTCTGGAATGTGGCAAGATATTTTCTAGAAACTCATGTCGCTAATTGCTGATACTGCGTGCCTACAGGAGATCGATGGATCGTCCGGCAGACGGCTTGGGGGCCATGATGGACTTTGTCTCCCTGGCAGTATCCCAACACGCCTATCCTGGTATGCCCTGCTGGGGAGGGCGGGGTATAAATAAAATATTATTATTAATTATTTATTATTATAAATTGCCGGTCCCCTCTCCTGGGTTGCTCCCCTGGTCGCCTGACTGTGCCCTACACTCTTCAGAGCCCTGCCAGAGGAGGAGGAGGAGGAGGAGGAGGAGGAGGAGGAGGAGGAGGGTGGGGCACCAGAGGGACCCCGTCCCCTGCTCACCACTGGCTGCAGTTGTCCCTCAGGAACATCTCCCCCGGGATGCGACGCTCGTGATCGAAGAAGCAGTGGCACTGGCTGACGTTCACGCAGCCCCCGTCCTGCAGGAAGAGCCCCGGGGGGCAGCGGCAGCCTGGGAGGGGAGACAGAGGGGGCTGGAGGTCAGAGCAGGGGGCACGGATCGAGGGAGCCCTTTTCTAGGCTAGGAAGGGATCAGGAACGTGGTGCCCCCCTCCTAGCCCCGGGGAAAACATGCTCACCCTCCACGCAGCTGCTGGGGCAACTCGTCTTCAGGCTCAGCTGGCGGCACGTTTGGGGACAGGGAGCCACGAGGCCTCGCTCGCAGTGCCCGGCTTGCACGTAGACCATGTCTGGCCCGCAGTCTGCAGAGGAAACAGGCGAGAGGAGGAGGTCGGGGTGCGGGAAAAGGGAAGCAAAGCTTAGTGGGTGGAGGGGGCAGGGCTTGC